TCCAAGATGGCGGATCGAAAAGCAAAAAGTTACTTGATCGGGACGAAACTGAATACTCGGGGGTTTTCGAGGTCGTTGATTACAAATTTGGCCTCAGATTTTAAAAATTCAAAATGGCAGATCCAAGATGGCAGACAGAAAATTAAAAAATTAGTTTTGGGCTGTAAAATAGGTCAAGTAATTTTAATTTTAATTTTAATTTTTTAATTTTAATTTGCAATAAACGACCCAAAAAAACCCACTTAATCCCATTTTACAGCCCCAGAACTAATTTTTTAATTTTTTGTTCCCCATTTTGAATTTTGAAAATCTGAGACCAGAATCATAATCAGGGATCGCGAAAACCTCCGAGTAATAAGTTTCAGTGAAATCAAGCAATTTTTTGCTCTTTTGTCCGCCATATTGGATCCGCCATTTTGAATTTTGAAAATCTGAAGCCAGATTCGTAATCAGCGTTCCCGAAAACCCCAATTTTTTGTTTTTTGGTCCACTATTTTGAATCCGCCATTTCGAATTTTTTAATTTTAACTTTAGATTCGTAATCAGTGACCCAAAAAATCTCTCAGACTTCATTTTTGATTAATTAGCTATTGTTGATTAGTCACAATCACATTTATATATATATATATATATATATATACATACATACACATACATATATATATATTGTTAAAAAAAAAAGAATTTTTCCGATTTGTTTATTTATTAATAAAATATATTTCGTTAACAATAGGAATGTTTCCACGATTTTTTTATAACAATTGATGTTCTAAACATTGATAATGTTCTTTTCATTGTAGTAATATGTAGAAACTGTATGAAAAGCATAAAAAACTGAGGTTAAAATTAAATCATTTTCCTTATTGATTAATAAATCATAGTTCATTGCGATTTTGTGATTCCAATCCTATCATATTGAAACCTGATTTTAGGTTATTTTAAAGGATATGAAAAATACTTTTCATCATCTATCATTTTTTAAAAATCTGATTGAGTAATTGTTCAAGATATGGGATATGATCGAATCAAAACAATTGAATTAAGTTTTCATTAGTATAATAAATCATAGTTCTTCGCGATTCTATAATTCGATATCTATTATGATGAATTCAGCACTCAGGATTCACATAATTTTGAGTGAAACCAGATAGATTAGACGGAAACAAAATTATATACTGATATTTATTAACTAATTGTAAGCTAGGAGATTATGACAATATAGCGATTTATTTGTAATCGTCCATTTGTTTATAATTTAATGTTTATACAATAGGAGATCAGACGCAAACAAAATTATACACTGATATTTATTAACTGAGCTAGGAAATGATAATGACAGTGATTGATCTTGACATATGCTGTCAAGGTCATGACTTTGAGTAATCTCCAACAAGTTTTAGCCATCGCTCGTGATTCGTTAAAAAGTTATTAACAAAAAAGTTTGAAAAAATAACGTTTTATTTCTATATATTAGGTGTTGGAATTAATTCGTAGCGTTTTTAATGAAAGAATGTTATTTATTTCACATGAGCATTAAAAAATACATTAATGAAAGTACTTCCCATCACTTGTAAAACGCTACGAATTAATTCCAACACCTAATATAATATTAAAAACTATTTAGAAATATGTTAAAAAGGGATACGAATCATAAGAATATTCTTGTGGTTCGTAGTCCTTCTTAATATGTTTCTAATTAATTAAAAACTATCTTATACCTGTCTTTGCTTACGTAATAAATTCTCATGCGAAGCGACTCCCACCTCACTCTCTGCAAGGGAGTGCATGATTTCCGCGCAAAACGACTCCCATCCTACCTTCACATCACAGTATATACAGCAACTCTCTGTCGGTACTTTTGATATTAGTGTTGGCCAAAATGGAGTGCGCATGCGTGAAATAAGTAAGTTACTCCGTCTCTTTTCCTCCTTTTTTATTGCTCTCTTTTTCTCTCTCTTTCTTTCTCTATTTAAATAAGCGTTGCAATATTTCACTTAAACATTTATCTTTCGAGCATGCATGGTTCAGAGAAATTTAGAAGAAAGTATTACGTTTTTTGGACATATGTATACGAAAGAAGTTTAGAGTCACGGTTACCATCTAAACTTCTTTCTCTTTTTATCCTTTTTTCACTCTGTCAAAATTCCTTTGGCAAAATTCATTAGATTTATTCGCTTCGCAATCCAACGAATTCGTTGAAGTGAGTAAGTGCTATTGTAGAAATATTTATATATTGGGAGTACAAATTAGTTCGGTCCGTTTTCCAAAAGATGGCTCCAGCTGTTGTGAATGGTTCATAGTGACAGCTGATTTTGGCGTTTTCAGAGAGGTTAGACATCTGCTAATAATATTCAGTTTATATCGCTTTGAGTTTCATACAAAAACCTTGATTTTTATTGTGTTTGAAATGTCGAATTTTGTGTTAACCAAGCAGCATTTGCGGGAGGTTCTAATTTTCTGCTTTAATTAGAAGAAAAGTGCAGCTGAAGTCCATCGAATGCTTGTCGAAGTTTATAGTGACACTGCTCCAACTGATAAATCATGTAGGGAATGGTTTCGACGTTTCAAGGATGGAGATTTCAGCGTTGAAGACAAGCCTCGCTCTGGACAGCCAAAAAAATTCGAAGACAAAGAATTAGAGGCATTACTCGAAGAAGATCAGAGTCAAAGCAAGAGGAGCTTGCAGAATCATTGGGAGTAACTCAACAAACCGTTTCTGCACGATTGAGAGCTATGGGAATAATTCAAAAACAAGGAAATTGCCTTATGAACTGAAACCGAAAGGCGATTTTTCACTTGCGAACAGCTGATTCAAAGATAACAAAGAAAAGATTTTTTGCATCAGATTGTGACTGGAGATGAGAAGTGGATATTCTATGACCCCAAGAAGAAAAAATACTACGCTAAGGTCAATCGTTGCATCGACCTCAACATCAACACCAAAGCCGAATCTTCATAATTCGAAGATCATGCTCTGTATCTGGTGGGACCAAAAGAGTACGTAAAAAAATATTTGGAAACACTCAAATGGGATATTTTACCGCACCCGCCGTATTCTTCGGACATTGCTCCTTCTGATTACTGGTTCCGAAGGATGCAGCACGGTGACTTCTTTCGCAGAAATCGCGATTCATTTTGTTTTGAAACAAATGTATTTTTGAAAAACGGACAACAAAAAAACGGACCGAACTAATTTGTACTCCCAAAAAACTTTCAACAAAAAACTTTTAACAAAAATTGAAAAAAATATCTATTTCGCGTTATTTTTGACGTAGATGTGCTTCCAGATAAAGATATTTTTATCTAGCATCTATGTTAAAAATAGCGTGAAATAGATGTTTTTTTAATTTTAAATGATTCCGAAAAATAATAGGACTAAACTGAGTAGAAAAGTCCTCTACCATTTTGTAATGGCTCGCAATAATTAACGATAATTAACGAAGATATTAATATTTAAAGATAACCGAATACGTCCTCCCGATCTATTATTATCGAAAGTACGGCCCACCGAGCGCGCGAGCCGCGAGGAGCGGAGCTTACCGTTGCGAGCATCTAAGCTCAAAGGGCGCGGCGCGCCTGCTAGGCCATTCCCGCTCCTCGCGGCCCGCGCGCCGTGCGCTCGGTGGGCCGTTCCGTCAAAGGGCGATGAAATAAAATTTAATCATTTAGAAATATTCATATAATTTTTCTATAGTTCTATTTATTATTTTTTTCTCAATTAAAGTTAGGCACAGATGTATGCGTGTACTTATATAATCATGTACACATATTAATGTATAAAATTTACAATAATATAAAAATATATATATATATGAAGAGTAAGTACCTGTGTGTGATGGATGTTGTTTTTACAAAAATCAGTGTTAGAGACAAATATAATAAATCTCTATGTAAGTGTGTGCGTGTATTAAAAAGAGGGAGAGGAACTTCTTATAGATTCGAGGTGTTCAAGTGACTGGAATATTTCATCGTAGGACCTGTTGTCTTCCAGAAGGACTGGGGAGTGAGAGGGAGCAAAAGTTCTGCGTTTTGGAAATTATTGAGGGTAGGAGAATAGGAGGGGAAGGGTATTCAAAATCCAGGGAAGGGTCTGGAGATGTATTACTAGGAGACTAACTATCGGTTGGCTTGTCGGAGGTAAGGTCTATCACAGGGACGTCGGGGGAGCCTTGATCTCGATATTTTTAGCGCCCTTTTAAGTTGACGACGGGCTTGAGGGAAGATAAATTGTCTGGTCTGTATCCGCGTAATAATTTGGACGCTAGCCTGTCTGAGTTTCTCGAGCTTGGCCCGCTTCTTGCGTCCTGCTTTGTGTCTATTCCGTCAGACCAGCTATTTTCCCTTGTTGGTGTCCATGATAATTAGAAAAAAGGAGGAAATAATTCCGAAGAGAAGGGAGGGGAAAATAGATTTTCCAGAAGTTATGATTTGATTCTAGGGAGAGTATCTATGAGTTACTTAAAGCGTTTTATTGTTTAAGGAACTGTGAATACGGAAAAGAAGAATTACTTGAAGCGTTTTATCGCTTAAGTAATTCCGAGTAAAGAAAGAGATGAATTACTTGAGCGTTTTACCGCTTGAGTAATTCTGAATAAAAAAAAGGAGAATTACTTGAAGCGCTTTATCGCTTTACCTAAAGATAGGCAGGGTGCGTCTGTGGTTAAAGAGAGAAAAGATCAAGGAGGAATAAGAGAGCGAGAAAATATTGATAATCATATAACTTTGAAATTAAAGTAACATGAGAAAGAAAAAGAAAGAAAATTTGTTCTTACTATTTGCTGGAGGTAGTGGCCAACTATAGCGGAAGTCCCCGGTAATGTTTCAGTGATGTCTCTTAACTTTTAAGAATCAAAGATCTTCAACGTGGATTACTGATTTTTCTTGAATTACACTAAGCCGAGAATTCCGCATTTGGAATAATATAATTAAACTCGCCGTCTGATCTTGAATGTCACTTATGACTGCTCGAAAAAATTTTTTATAACTGATTGCGCGAATATAATGCAATTCAGTACTTTGGATGGGTAATTCATCTCTTTTTCCAAAGGTTTCCCAATTATTTCGAAAGAATAGGAGTGATTAGAGTGTTTTCGTTTTATATGTGAGTCAGAAAATGTCATCAGACTTATTTGTGAATCATAGGGTTATTGTACGTGCTTTCAATCGAACACTAATAATTGTTTTTCTTTAATTGATGTCTAGTTATTTATATAAAAAAATCAATATTCGATCCGCCATGCTACTGACGTTCTGGAGATAATCGCAAGTCATTAACATTTGAGAGAAAAACAGATTTTCTCCACGAAAGAAAAGAATCGTGAAGTCGTCAAGACATAAAAATATCTATAATAGAAGGAGATATCAAGATAAAAAATATTCGACACTTGCTCTTCCTGCATTACAATGTCAACTATAATTGGTGACAACGGGGAGGCCGATTGGTGTTCTGTATTTTTGTTTGAAAATCTGATTATTGAATGTAAAATAAGTGGAGTTAAGTACAAATTCAATAATTTTAATGAATTCATTTTTGGCTGCAATTCATTGAGATCATTTTCCATCTGTTTTCAATACTTTTTAGTGCCAAGTCAAACGGTATATTGTTGAATAATGATACTGCGTCAAGAGAGATCATTAAGTGATTATTGATTGAGTATGTTCACTAAATCAAAACTATTTTCTACATGGCTATTGGCAACTGGTAAATTTTTAATTTATTATTTTTATTTATTATTATTTTATGTAGAAATGTAGCAAATCAGTATAATGGACTATCTATAGACGAAACTATGATTCTTAATGGACAGTTAATTTTATGTATTAAAAGTAATAAATCTATTAAAAGTAATAATCTTATGTATTTTGGAAACACCATAAGCTCTAGATAATAGTTCATCAGTACAATTAAGAAATCTATACTTTGCAGATATAAACTCAACATTCTCCCATCTTGTAATTATATTTTTAAGTCCATTTGTAATGCTTCTAATAGGATCTATTTATAATCAAGTATGTGTTTTTGTCATGGAGTAATTCATTCATTTTTTTACATATTTCTGTCAAGAGCTACAGTAATATTACCTTTATCAGCTTTTGTGACAATTCAAATTTTGTTATTTCTAAAAACTCTAAAGTTGTTTTTTTTTTATTATATTATACTTTATGGAAAAAATTGAACAAGGATTTTTTTTTTACATTTGTTACTTTTAGATATATTAATAAGAGATATGATTTTGTTTCTAATATAATTTTGTGTTCCATACATATGTAGTGTCTTAAGATTGTGTTCGACATTTTTTATAAGCTCTTGAATCGCTATTTTTTTATTGATCAATGGCAAAGAAAAATTATTGTAACAAACAGCAAATTTCTGAGGGTATTTGAATAATATTCGAAAAATTTGGGAACCATTTGTCTCTAATAGTTGAAAATGAAGGAAGTTGTTTGTAATTGATGAACGTGAATGCAATCAATTTTATCTTATAATCTGTAGATTTGTTTAATGTATGAAGGTTTGTAGTATTTTATTATTATTGATGTTCTTTGTTTGGGAATCAATATGGTAACAAATTTCTTGTTTATTTCTACGTTTATAATTTCTATTAGTTTTTTTTTATTAGATAGCCAATTAATTTTTTTATTAATGCGATTGGACTCTATAAAAAAACAAATTATTATTATATTTTCGTGCGTGAGGTAATTGTTTACATCAATTTATTTTCCGTTTTTTATTTAACATATTACAACTAATATTATATTGAAAGTCTTAATTTTTTTCCATCCAGCTCATCAACTGGCCATGGAAAAATGTATGGAGATTAGCCAACGGAATCCATGCACACATCATGAAATACAACTAATGAAATTGTATTCGCTGATGAAGACTTGAAGTTAGCCGAAACGTTATTTATTTGTTAAAATATATTATTTGAACTAAAAAGAGTCACTTATGCGCATCACTTACAGCACTGATTCCTAATCGCCCAATTTATTTATCATTTAATTATCATTTTAACTAATAATAAGCGACGGCTAAAACCTGTTGGAGGTCACTCAGGGTCATAATCTTGACAACATATATCAAGGTCAAGGTAATTGGAGGGATGCTCCTCTAATCTGAATTTTTACCTTAATAATTTATTTACGATAAATTTGATCAAAATGACAAAGAACAATAAGTTACTATACAAAAATACTTATACAAAATTTCTATAGAATTCAAAAATACTTATACAAAATTTCTATAGAATAATTGAATCCGCTTTCATCAGGAAATAATAGGGAACGATAACATTTTTTTCAAATATAATGTGAATAATGATATTGTAAGAAACGATGGCTATAGCACAAACTTTCGCATAACGCATAACGTGTATAGTAATAATTGTATAATAATAATAAAGGCATAAAAACTCAACCAATCGGAATCCTTTATTTCATGGAGAGGAATGTAATGAGAGATTTATTCATTTGTTATTAACAGAAATATGAATAATTAATGCGCACTACATGATAGAATAATAAGATGGAATCAAACATGAAATCGTTAGATCATTATTAAATAATATTCTGTGATAATTCGTTAATAAAATGGATGAAAACTTAATAGACTTCCTAATTTGGCGAATCAGAATTTTCGACCTCGGTAAAAAATTTTTCATGCACGAATATATATATAAATATAAATATAAACATGCATAAACATGTATAAACACTCTCAAATATTTACAATTATACAATACTATACATAATATCTACATGTCCATACATCCTTCTTTCTCTAAAATTACTCCTTAGTAGAATAAAAATGACAATAGTAATGGGAAAATATAAAAAATAATTACAAGGATCACTTTTGCATTGCTGTTTTAGAAAAAAATTGAATTTGAGAAAAAAATTGCTCGTACATAATGTTACGTCCAAATCCTTGGAAATTTGGTTAAGGAGCCAACGAGGAAGAATGGAGAGGATATGAAAGGATGGTTAGACTCAATCTCACATACGCGCGGAGGAGAACATCTGTGAGTCGTACGCACCTTTTCAGGAATATGGGTCAACGTCCGAAGGGACGCTATGACACCTGTTCCGCTGGACAGTGCGAACATAGGTCCTACTTTTGGATCAAGGAACTTAATTCTTTTGACTCGGGACTGGACCTCGTGCGATCTCAGGGAAGTGAATGCGAGAGGTGATTTTAATAAAAGACAAGGGAATACCTTAAGTTACATTTATTAATAAAAAGAAAAATAATAATAAAAAAAGGGTTTTATACATTAAAAATTTTTCTTTACATAAAAAATATACATTACAGCTTATGGATATATGCGTGCGTGCGTGCGTGCGTGCGTGCGTGCGTGCGCACTAATGAAGTGGACTGCAGGATTCATGAAACGTTGGCATTTTAAGAATGGATCTGGACACAGAGGAAATCCTCGAAACGTATAATCTTTATATAGAGCACCCGTAGAAGCCTCCAAAAAAATACTTCGAGGTACACATTTTTATATAAAAATGAAGAATGTTTGAAAAAAAGTCTTATTTTTAGTCACAAAACTTTTTTTTCAAATATTCGACATTTTCACACAAATCAGTATTTGGAAGTATTCGTTAGCATTCCTTTAGTAAATACGTAGAAAAAAGAATATTCCGTTTCTTGTATCTATTCCAACCGAGTTCTCGCAACGTCGATTTGACAATAGGACAATTAATGAAGCAGCACCAGTGTCACAATTATGTTAAAAGAAAAATAATAATAAATATAAGATTTTTATCCCCAAAGAATTATATTGCAAATGCTTTAAAACAAACTTTGTTTTTTTTCCATTGTTTTTCTCCAAAAAAATATTTTTCAAAGTAATATATTATATAATTTTAGATTAAAGATGATGTAACTCTTTAATTGTTAAATTTAATTTCATTATAAAATACTTAACATAACATCTTAAATTAAAAGACGTACATATTGGCTGAGAGTGGATACTTTCACAAATTTGAATGTTGCATAATTCGTAGAAGTATGCATTATAATAATATCTAATACACCTCACTTTATTTCGATTAATGTTTAAAATATGTAGGAAAGTAGAGAAGGAGAGTGATATTTTGATAATAATATCGCACGTTGCATCGAAAACCCGAGATTCTTGAGAATACGAGAACACGAGAGCGTTCATCGTGTGGATTCTATATTGCACTAGTAAACGTCAAACTCAATTAAACGATGTGACTGAGTAAATAAAATGCGCGGACAGTACGTTGATAGTTTCACACGAAAATCCTGTTTTTCCTTTTTTCCCCTTAATACATTTTCGTGATACAAGTAGTTTAATTATCTGTATAAGGTCAAATAATATATTTTCGTATAACAATTGCAATTATTCCTCGTATACCTTAAAATCAAAAATTGTAGGAAAAATAATGATTCGATATTTATGGTATTCGACTTAATCGATGAAAGATTCACATAAAAAAAAACATCTCTCTTACGTGGGCCAAACTAAAAGGAAATGTGGTTTCACAACATCAATTTGAATATTTAATTTGGATAAAAATTTAATTGGGATAATATTCAGATATTAGATATAGAATCATTCTTTCAAAAGAGACTAACGTCAGAAATGATCTTCATAAATAAACAAAATTATATATAAACCGTCTTTCATGATTAGAGTTAGATATTTTGTTTTCGACAGTTCAATATAGATTTCCAAGTCTTGGATTCCATAACTCAACTTATTGTTAACACATCATAATTTATATATATATGTATATGTATATCACAGTTAAATTAATTTTTTCAATTGAAGAGCTATTAACATTATCAATAAATTTCACATTTAATAGAATCTGAAAATTATGTGTTTCAATAAGTTCGACTAACTGTTGTGACAAAAAAAACGATAATTGGTATCTGGAGTATTTGACATGATTTTATGAACTAAAAAAATTTATAACAATAACTTGAGCGTCAAGCTCTTCGAAAATATAATTGTAATTGAGCGTGAAAAATATTTTATCTCATTATTATAACGTGAATAAAATTTATTCGAAATTAGGTTAGTTTCTCAACATGTTGAAAGTTATAACACACATTAATTTTGTAATACTGAAGATGGTCTGATATATAAGGCCGAAACGTCTATTTTATTGTATTGTTTTTATTCTATGGTAATCTATTAAATATTTCGTTAACTAACATCTTGCGCTCGTGATGAATGCCTTTTCAATCACATTGTTTTAAATTTAATCACGTTTTGACTTCTATTGTTAAAAAAAAACATGTTTAATGATGTAGCGTTTATGACAAATACGCTTTGTGTCGATCAATATTTTGTATAAAATGTATAAATTGTATAAATTTCTTTCTAACTATCACATCCGCATTTATAATTCTGTTAATGAACAAAATTTTGAAAATGAGATTACTAATAATATAAATAAAGATGATATCAATATAATTTTGTAGTGCACAATTGAAAACCTTCATACTTGTATGTTGTGTAATTTTAAAATAATTTTTTATTTGTTTATTGAAAAGCGAATCAGTTTTTACTATTGCTTAAAAATTACACATACGAACAATAATTTCAAAAATTATATGAAAATATATTTGTGACCTAATATATATGTTTACTACTAATTATAGTACTTATTTCCGATCTCACACCTTACGCTCGACCACGCCAATTTCTTGCTGATCGAATTTATAACTGTGGTTCATAACACGAATGGAAAATCATAAACAATTAATCTCCCTCAATTATCGCGTTTTGATACGATTTATAATATTCTGGATTTGTAGGAGGAGTATATTACAATTTATTACAATTTATTAAAACTTATATTATATGTTATCTAGAACGTTCCCATGCCTCCGTGCCTCTTGATACACGCCTGACGCCGAGAGCCGAGAGGCCGATAAAACATATTTCGGTTGTTCGATGCTCGCTTAAGTGAAACAGCAAGGTTCTCTCTTGTTCTCAGCGTACCGACAAGGCAAGCAATAAGAACGTAGTGCAAAAAAGACAGAGCGATATAGTCGGCACGCTTCTAACTAACCAAGTCACACAGACACGGGTTCGTGCTTGTGTTGCTACCGGTTGCGCCAGGCCGCTGGCGCTGATCGCGTGCTGTAAGCGGCTCGGAATTCGCATCACTGTACCCAAAAATTGATAAAAACGGTAACGCGTCGCCTCGTTTCACAGTCGGAAGTATCCGCTTTTTTGTCGCCATTTTCCGCACCATCTTCGGTTTCATGCCCATGCCAATCATGGCCTTGGCTTCTATTTCTGTCCAGATGGCAGCAGTGGCGGCTCTCTCGCTCAGAGCTGAATCTCTCGCGATGATGCGTCCTAGCGCTTTATTGACGAGTACCTTGTCCGCCGCGTGTCTATCGGTGAGATCGCTGTTCCGAGAATACGCAACGTCGTGTTCTCGGCATGCCGCGACCAGCGAATTTATGCCCGCGTCACCTCTAATCGCTTCGTCAGTCGAGTGCCCGGACCGCAAAACTGATACCCCAGAATATGTAATTCGAAAGGAAGCGCGTTTATCGCTCGATTTAACAGACCGCCGCGCGACGCCGACATTCACTACAGTCCTTTATCTTAGGTACGAGACCGTGCGTCCGCTGCCGCGATTTATTGTAGTGCTCGTCGCAGTGACAATAGGTTCGAATCTCCGAATCCGTCTTTACGTGTTACGAAGCTTATGCCATACGTGGTCGATGTAGTCGCCGTACACGCGTAAGAGTATAACCTTCAGCATACTCTGACTGCTCGGCGCTCAAGTCTCGAATACCGAAAGAATGGCACAGCACGAGATACATTTTGCTACTGCGCGATTCGCGGGTTCGCACAGTAACGCACAGTAACGCCTTTAAATAATCGTTTGAGTGCGCGTAGCCTTTAGCGAACATGAAATTTGTGCGGCAACTGCTGACGATACGCGTCACAAACTGTGAAATCGCTAATGATGGGAAGCAGCGCGGAGAAGCGCAAGCACGGCGAAATGCTTCCGAGCATTATACGCTCGATCATTTGCGACTCATAAAATTGTGGTAAAACCAATGTTCTCAGCTTGCTCGAGAGTCCGAACGGCGTACGTTTCGAAAACTACTCGAAATCGCTGCAGCAACCAAAGTATCAATATCTCCTGAAGATTTTATACTTCAGGCTTTCACGGGTGCTTTCTATTAGGTGTACAAAAAAGTTCTGAGCTTTAGATTTGATACAACTGAAATAACAATTTAAATTTTATATATCTTCCCGCCCTTTTGCGGTTTTAAAGCGTTAACATTTGACCTTCTAAAATGCCATACGGTTTGGCGTTTGATGCACATAACCTCAAAAATCAGTAGTGTTCACGATGGCAATAACAAAAGAGCATATTCGATTTTCCATCCACTTCGCGTTTCATCTGAAGAAAAAAAAAAAAACAATGATTTGTGCTGCATATGGAGAGAACGCTGTAAGTCATGCTACATGTAAAAGACGGTATCAAAAGTTTCGCCAAGGAGATTTCAATCTTAAAGATGAATCGCGTGCTGGCCCTGAAAAGATTGAAACGGACGAATTGCAAGCACTGCTGGATATAAACTCTGCGCAA